TTCTATTCTATTCTATTCTATTCTATTCTATTCTATTCTATTCTATTCTATTCTTATTGTACCCTATGACTATTATTAAGTGCTGTACCTTATGATTCTTGACGAATGTAATTTTTCTTTTATGTACACTGAGAGCATTTACACCAAGACAAATTCCTTGTGTGTCCAATCACACTTGACCAACAAAGAATTCTATTCTATTCTGTTCTGTTCTATTCTATTCTTATTGTACCCTATGACTATTATTAAGTGCTGTACCTTATGATTCTTGACGAATGTAATTTTTCTTTTATGTGCACAGAGAGCATTTGCACCAAAGACAAATTCCTTGTGTGTCCATCCACATTTGGCCAATAAAGAATTCTATTTTATTCCACTATATTTCTGGTTTTTTTTTTTTCGGCCGACGGTTCCTTTAAGAAAAGGGGCGGGGCCAAGAGGACTTCCCCCGCCTGGCGGGGCGGGGAATCCCTCCTCTTTCCCCGCGCTGGAGGACCTGACGTCACCCAGCGGTGGCGGGAAACGTGGGAATGGCAGAGCTGCTGGACTCGGATGCGGGCAGCGATGTGGAGGTGGTGCTCACGCCGGCTCAGCTCATCTGCAGTTTGGAGGAGGTGAGGCCGGGAGGGTCTTGGGGAGCCCCCCCTCCCCTCCTTCATTGGAAACCTTTTTTAAAAAAACCGTCGGAATGGGCTCCGTTTCATTTGAACCCGACCCGCGAATGCTGCCGGCTTGGTTTTGCAGCGCACCCGGGCTTCAGAGTCGGGGAGGGGAAGCGGGAAGAAGGGAAACATTGCAAGATGCGTGGAACTCGGGAAAATTGCATTCGATCCGAAAAGCCGTGTGAATGCAGCTGACACGTAAGTAACCGGCCAGGGCTGAGCTTGCCGTGGGCAGCCCCAGCTGTTAGGTGTCCGTTTATAAGCTGTGTGGGGTTCAAGAAGCCACGTTTTGATGGCTTATGCATATTAGATTATATCAATTTGATTAATGCGATAGAGATGAAAGATAATGTTAGCGTGAATTGGAGGAATATGAATGTTACTAAGTTAAATTTCTTCATGCGGTTATTGTGAATTAATGTGAAAAATGGATAAAAATTGAAATACAAAAAAGGGCTATATATATGCCCAAAATAATATGAGGATTACATAAATTTGATAAACCTGTATTAATAATGTCAGCATGAATTGGATCAATATGGAATGAAATGTAGTTAAACTTGTTTATAGACAATAGAGAAATGTTTAGGTTGAATAAGAAAGATATAAATGAAAGATAAAGAGGAGGAGTTAGGCATTTTTTTTGGCTTCTATGTAACTTGAAAAACTTAATGATTTAAATTGGATAAATGTGATAGAGATTACTAATACTGTTCATGTGATTTTGATTCATATGAATGATACCCAGAAAATAATATATATAATTAATCTCTATCTTATCTACCTATATCTATCTAATCTGTGTGTGTGTGTGTGTGTGTGTGTATACATACACACATACATATATATGTATGGTATTCAGCTTTGTTCGGGTATTTTCCCACGTCATTATAGTTGTGCTTTTAAAGTTGTAGCTACAACTTTAAAAGCACAACTACAATGACGTGGGAAAATACCCGAATAAAGCTGAATACCATACATGTAAGTACCCGCGAAAACTTAAGAAAACATATATATATATATATAATATAAATATATATACATATATATGAAGAAACAGACATCCTGCAATCTCTGGAACTTAAAAAGTACATTTAATGTACTCACTGAGCTTTCGTCAGCCTCTGCTGACGTCCTCAGAGTTTTAAGCTACCATTACGGAGATATTTGCCTTTATATAACATTAACCAATTTATCCCTCTGGCTCCAAAAGAATAACTTGTGGGTGGGACGTAATGGGTGCTCCACCACTGGAGGTTTTTAAGAAGAGACTGGACAGTCACTTGTCTGAAATGGTATAGGTTCTCCTGCTTGAGCAGGGGGCTGGACTAGAAGACCTCCAAGGTCCCTTTCAGCTCTATTTTATTCTGGTGCAGTTAGCAATCAGCAGTCCCCCCCCCAGCAGCAGCCAATTGCCAGTCCAGGGCTCTCTAGCTGTAGCTGTTCCTTCATTTATTGCAGGAATAACTCGTCTCTGTGTCCATCCTCGCTCCCGTCCAAGCATCCTTGGGCCTGAACAAAACAACTTCATGCAATTCCCAAAGGTGCTTTTTTCTCTCTCTTTTTTTCCAAGAGGCCACTGGACTTTCTGGTTATATAGATTTGAAAGGATGGGAGCTATTGATCAGCCTTGATTTGGAAGAAGGGGACCATAACCTGGGACCATAAGAAAAGCATTGCAGAGCTGGGAGCATGAAGTTCCGAGGACTGCGAGTATCGGGAAAAGGTTTCAGGGGGTAACCACGATGCCCATTTTCTGCTATTTGTTCTCCAGGCTTGGATGAATGAGAAATTTGCCCCGGAGCTTCTAGAAAGTAAGACGGAAATTGTTGAATGCGTCATGGAGCAGCTGGAACACATGGTAAGGCATCCAAAGAGGTAAACGGAAGGAGACTGGGTTTAAGTTCAGAAAGTCAATCAGGCCTCACTCTTGTTCCAGCCTAGTCACCCTCTTTTAGTTTAGTTTAATTCAGTTTATTTTATTGTCATTGCATCCCATACAATGAAATTAGATAAGAATTTATTTGTCATTACACTCGCAAGCGGGTGCAACGAAATGAGGTGCTCTTCCACAAGTAAAACTGGACAACACCATTGAAAGAAAAATAAAACTAAACACAACAGACCATACAATAATCTCTATACAGTTTAAAAATGTAAATACCCCATTACTCTCAGCCATTAAATTCCACAAAAATCTTATGACCCTGCATTCAAACTCAAAACTGCACTTGGATAAAAACTGTTCTTAAATCTAGATGCCATCCTCGGTGTACATTATAACTATAAAAATAAAACGCAAGCACACATCCTTCGCCTTCTGTACAACTGAATTAAAAACCCCTGGTATTGCTTTAATATTGCACTATGCAGTAGAAATAGGGGACGCGGTGGCTCAATGGCTAAGACGCTGGGCTTGTCGATCAGAAAGGTCGGCGGTTCGAATCCCTAGCGCCGCGTCATGGAGTGAGCTCCCGTTCCTTGTCTCAGCTTCTGCCAACCTAGCAGTTAGGAAGCATGTAAAACAAACTGCAAGTAGAAAAATAGGGACCGTTTTGGTGGGAAGCATTCTGTGCGCCTTTGGTGTTTAGTCCCGCCGGCCACATGACCACGGAGACGTCTTCGAACAGTGCTGGCTCTTTGGCTTTGTAACGATTAGCATGTATGTGCAAAGGGAATCTTTACCTTTACCTTATGCAGTAGAATTCAATAGAGTTACTGCCCTGGGACAGAAGCTATTTTTCAGCCTATTTGTCCTTTGTTTTTATTGTCTTGTACCATCTGCCAGATGGTAATAGTTCAAAAAAAAGGGTTCCCGGGTTGAGATGGATCTTTGAGGATGTTTTAAACTTTCTTAAGGCAGCGGGAGCTATAAGGCTGTTCCAAAGAGCGGAGAGGGTAACCAATTTTTGGGAAAGTGATAAGGTAACGCCACACCACTGCAATGCAAAACATTGCTCCTTTTAGATAGAATAGAATTCTTTTATTGGCCAAGTGTGATTGGGCACACAAGGAATTCGTCTTTGCACATAAAAAGAAAAGATACATTCGTCAAGAATCATAAGGTACAACACTTAATCATAGGGTATCAAACATATACAATGGAGGTGGGCCTTGAAACACATCGGGGTGGGATGCTGCTTTTGGCATTCACTTCTGTAGCAGAGGCCTCTGCTGGCACGCAGTAACAGACCGTGTTGCCTCGCAGCCCTGAAAATCAGGAGGTTCAAAGATCTCCTTTTTTTTCCCCAGTAGGATCTGAACTCTTGGCTTTGCTATTCTTGTGACTTTGCTACTCCTGTTTGCTGACTTACTGTAGGGCAGAGGTCTCCAAACTTGGCAGCTTTAAGACCTGTGGACTTTTAACTCCCAGAATTCTCCAGCCAGCATAGCTTACTCTCTTGTAATCCCTTCCTCTGCAATCTCTCTCCACTTTAGGAGATAGATAGATAGATAGATAGATAGATAGATAGATAGATAGATAGATAGATAGATAGATAGAGAAAGCAGGCATGGCTGGCTGGAGGATTCTTGGAACGGAGATCCCTGCTGTAGGGTGAAAGAGATGCAAGCAGTCAGGGGGTGGGATGGGTTAAGAGTAGGATGAAAGTTGCATATCTTTTAGTGAGTAAAGGTAGTCCTTGACTGGTGGCTTTTCAAAGTTACGATGGTGCTGAAAATAAGTGGCTTACAATGACCGCTTTTCACACTACTTGTTATGTCTCACCTGTACAAACGAGGTGAGAAGTCCAAGTTTCCAACTGAATACAAACAGGCAAGCAAATCCAGCAATTATGGAGTTAACTCCTTTGAGCCGATAAAGTTCTTGGCAGTCTCTCACACGCTGTCTGCCAAGTCCAACCAGATAAGAGGAATATAAATCACACAAGCTGCCACAACACAGATTACACATCGAAGCTTCTCTCACTAAGTAACACGTCCCGAACAAGTTCCCAGAGCGAACACACCCACTTTTATTCCCTGTGGGGCGTGTCAGTCCCTCATCTCAGTCTCTGATTCGTCCTTTCTGTGTTGCAGCTCGCGCTTTTGCCTACACCGTTGCCTCACATCAAGCCAGCATTCCTCTGCTGGATTCTCAGTCAGAGACTCTAATACGCCCTCCTCCTTTTCCTGATTAGCCTCAGGTCTTCCCTCCCGGTTATCTGCCGACACCTGAGGCACAATCAGGGAGGAAGGCATTTCCAAAACCTCCTCTTCCCCACTGTCCGAGTCTTCGTCCTCTAATAAAGCAGGCTCAAACCTCAGAGCCACAACACAACTGCTGCAGTATCCACTTGTATGATCTGAACCCGGATGCTTGGCCACAACCGCTTCCTGTTTATGACAAATTGCAGTCCTGGGATCACCCCTTGCAACCTTCTGACAGACAAAATCCGTTGGGGGGGACGGGACAGATTCATTCAACAGCCAGGTTAACTAACTTAACAACTGCAGTAATTCACTGCAGAGAAAGTTTATACAACAGGGAGGGGAAACTCACTCAACAACGGTCTTGTTTAACAATGGAAATTTTGGGCTCAATTCAGAGGTGGTATTCAGCTGGCTCGGACCGATTCTTCACCAAGACAAATTCCTTGTGTGTCAAATCACATGGGTCATGGAGAAAGTCTGTCTATGCGGCTGCTGCATCCTCGTCTTCATTTAACAATCCCATAATCAGAGGTGGTATTCAGCAGATATTCTGACCAGTTCCAGAGAACCCGTAGCGGAAATGTTGAGTAGTTTGAAGCATCGGCAAATACCGCCTCTGACTGGCCCTGCCCCATCTATTCCCCGCCTCCTGAATCCCAGATGATTGGCTGGGTCTTCTTTGGTTGCCCTGCATAGGAGAATGGAGCTGGAAAGCAGGTTAGTGGGGTGGGGAGGAAATGGGGATTTTACAGTAACCTTTGCCTGCCACGCCCACCTAGCCACGCCCACAGAACTGGTAGTAAAAAAAATTGAATCCCACCACCAGCTAAATTGTAAGTCAAAGATTGCCTGTAGCACATTTGTTTCAAATGGAGCAAATTGGACAAATCCAATCATTTTCGAGGGTTGTGGTAATAAAATTTGACCCTAATCCTAAACCTGGCCTATTGAAACATTACAGTGATTTTTTTTTTAATCATTATTTGTCCCGTAGGAAGACAATTTGAAACGAGCCAAACAAGGGGACCTAAAAATTAGTATTCACCGCATGGAAGTAGAAAGGATCCGTTATGTTCTCAGCAGTTACTTGCGTTGCCGACTCCAGAAGGTAAATGACTTAATTGAAAACCCAAGGGAGTTTGTGAATAGCAGAAGCATTTAGAAGTGCTCTTGTGGCCTGTTTTTAAGGCAGAAGCCAAATATTCATTGTCTCTTTCCTGGCGTTTCAGTTGTTATTAAAAAAATCTCAGGATAGTGGCATCAATGCAACTGGCGGGTTTCATTTTGCAGGTGGTTAAATTCTCTAGTTAGAGTGGAGTGGAAAAGGAATAGGAATAGCGCTAGAAGGGACCTTGGAGGTCTTCTAGTTCATCCCCCTGCAACCGAAAGGCAATGCGCATCCCCCCCGCTCTCTACGCATGCGTGCGTAATCACACACCCCGCCCCCTTATCTGCACTGCGCCTCACAGCTGATTTTCAGCCGGTTTGAGGCCTTTTTTGGCTTCCCAAAGGTTTGAGGAAGGCTTCTGCAGGCTTTGCAGGCTGAAAACTAGGCCCGTTTCATCACTTCCGGTTTTTCCGAAAATACCGGAAGTGACAAAATGGGGCTAGTTTTCGGCCTACAAAGCTTGCAGAAGCCTGCAGAAGCCTTCCTCAAGCCTCTGGGAGGCCAAAAAAGGCCTCAAACTGGCCAAAAATCAGCTGTGAGGCGCGCACATGCGCAGTGAGGTAAGTTTGCCTGCAGCTCTCTTCTTCAACACCTCCAGTGATGGAGCACCCATGATTTCTGAATGTAAGGTTAATCTGGACTCGATTCACACAACAAACTGAGTTGAAGTAATCAGAGGCCTAGCATCAGTTGTGCCATTATACAAACCCAGGATACGGTTAAATTGGTCATAGTAAACTAGTTGAACATGGCTATTGTATTGCCTAAACCAGTTGGGTTTAGGCAGGTGAACCCAACTCTAGTCTGGGAGGCTAGAAGAGGTAGATCAGTGTAGGAAGTCCAAAGTCCTCCAGATGGAGCTGTCCAATCTTGGCAACTTTAAGACTTAGGAACTTCAACTCCCAGAATTCCCAGGCAGCATAAGACCAACCCCTTAAACTACTATGCCAAATTAACTCTCAATAATTCAATTCTTGCTTGGGGCTCTTTTCCATGACTCTTGTACTAGCTTACCAAGGCAAGGATAGCTTTGCAAGCAATTATTTTTCCTGTTGAAACTATCAGGAGCTGTTGCTATGTTTTTACGTTTCTTTCCTCAAGGTTGCAATAATTCAATAATCTTCAAATATTCTTCAAAGCCGAGAATGAAATCAATATTCTTTGGTGGCGTATAATGTTTATGAAAACAGTCTTCTTCTCTCCTTTCTCTACATATTCCTTGTTCGCATGTTTTCTTGATGCTTCTGTCTGTGTCTGTGCAATCTAGATTAAACTAACCCCATCCAGCATGGTTACTATTGTAGTAGATGTTGTTATCAACGGACTTTGAAGAATGGGGAGCATCGTTAGTAACAAGTGGTAGATTCCCTGAGCCCAGAGTCTTAGAACAAAGGGACATTAGCCAAGGAAATAAGAGATTTTTCGTTCCATCGCTGGCTTTCAGCAATGCTGAAGTGCCCGTCTATTCTTACCTTTGTTGTTTATTTCCTCTGAAAGATTGAGAAATATTTCCCTCATGTCCTGGAGAAAGAAAAGACTCGGTCAGAAGGAGAACCTTCCATCTTGTCCCCAGAAGAGTTTGCCTTTGCCAAAGAGTGAGTAAAGATTTGGGGGGAGGAGAGGGTTGAAGGCCAATTACGGGTTCTAGGTTCATGCCTCAATATGCTGGACCCCAATGAGGCAACCAAGAGAAGAAACATGATTTAATTTACCATTTATTTGAAACTACCTGGATACCCATGTTTCACTACGAAACGATGTGGTCGGGCTTAGTTTTTGGGGAGGAAAATAAGTGTGTGTGGGGGAAATTCTGCCTCTGCCTACCAGCATCCATCGGTATTCATCTGGCTAGCATCCTGTCAGCGTGGGAGAGAGTTGAGGGCTGTTTGGAAACTGAAAGAATTTTGCTGTGTGAGCAAGAAGGAGACAGCAAGGAGCCTGGGTGTGGCTTAGCTTAACTGTTCTGTACTAAAGCTGCTTGGTGCTGCTGTGAAACTGAAACTCCTCTGCTTGTGTTTTGCATTAGGAACAGATTTCTTTTCAGGTGGGGAGGGGGAGTAGAACTCCTTAGCATCAAAGCCTGTTAATAATAATAATATACGAAATACTAATGCTCTGATGGTCATTTTGAAAAATCCTTTCCTAGTGAGCACCTAGAAGCCAAGAGGAACATAAGTGCCAAATTTCAAGTTTGTAGGCTTGACAGTTCTGGAGATTTTGTGATGATGCATGAGTGGCATTTATATATATATATATAATTTCAATTAAAAGAGCCATGGTGGCACAGTGGTTAGACTGCTGTACTGCAGGCTAACTCACTGCTCACTCCAGGAATTTGATCCTCACCGGCTCAAGGTTGACTCAGCCTTCCGTCCTTCTGAGGTAGGTAAAATGAGGACGCAGATTGTTGGGGGCGGCTGACTCTGTAAACTGCTTAGAGAAGGCTGTAAAAGCACTGGGAAGCGGTATGTAAGTCTAAGGGCTATTGCTGTTGCTCAAAAGGATTCCCTCTGGAGGAAGGGCCCTAGAACAAAGGCTTACATTAAACTTCAAAGTAGAAGTCGATTGTTTTAGGAAAAATCACCTCCCAGGGGTGGGGGTGGGGAACAGTGTAGAGGGTAGTTAGGGCACAGATGAGCAAACATTTGGCTCCAGTATTCTGTTTATTTCATTGTAGTTGCATTTTTGTCTTTCTGCATAGCTCAAGTTAAATAGGAAACCCCTTCCTTCCTTCTCCTTCCTTCCTTCCTTCCCTCCCTCCCTCCCTCCTTCCTTCCTTCCTTCCTTCCTTCCCTCCTTCTTCCTTCCTTCCTTCCTTCCTTCCTTCCTTCCTTCCTTCCGTCCTTCCTTCTCCTTCTCCTTCCTTCCTTCCTTCTTTCCTTCCTTCCTTCTTCCTTCCTTCTTTCCTTCCTTCCTTCCTTCCCTCCTTCTTCCTTCTTCCTTCCTTCCTTCCTTCCCTCCCTCCTTCTCCTTCCTTCTTCCTTCCTTCCTTCCTTCCTTCCCTCCCTCCCTCCCTCCTTCTTTCCTTCCTTCCTTCCTTCCTTCCTTCCCTCCCTCCCTCCTTCTCCTTCCTTCCTTCCTTCCTTCCTTCCTTCCCCCCTCCTTCCTTCCTTCCTTCCTTCCTTCCTTTACAATGAAACGATCTCTTCTTTTCAGGTACATGGCAAACACAGAGAACCATCTCAAAAACGTTGCACTGAGACATATGCCTCCAAACCTTCAGAAAGTGGAATTCCTCAAGGCTGGTAAGGAAGGAGGGCAGGAAGGGCCCAGCCCTTAGCCCCATAAGCATCTGGACAGCTGCAGATGACATCTGTGAAAGGGGTGGGGGAGGGGAGGACCTTCGGGCCAAACAAGGATATATTTATAGATTAACAGAGCTGGAAGGGACCTTGTAGGTCATCTAGTCCAAACCCCGCCCAAGCAGGAGACCCTACACCATTTCTGACAAATGGCAGTCCAAGTCTCTTCTTGAAAGCCTCCAGGGATGAAGCTCCAACAACTTCTGAAGTTCTGTTCCCATCCGTTGATTGTTCTCCCTGTCAGAAAATTCCTCCTTATTTCCAGGTTAAATCTCTCTCCTTGTTCAGTTTCCATCCATTATTCCTTGTCTGGCCTTGGAATGCTTTGGGAAATAGCTTGACCCTCCCCTCCTCCCTGTGGCAGCCCCTCAAATATTGGAAGACCGCTATCATGTCTCCCCTGGTCCTTCTCTTTACTAGACGAGCCAAGCCCAGTTCCTGCAACCTTTCATTGTATGGTTTAGTCTCTAGTCCCCTCATCATCCTAGTTGCTCTTCTCTGCACTTTTTCTAGAGTCTCAACACCTTTTTTATAATGTGGTGAACAAAACTGGATTCAGTACTCTTAGGTGTGGCCTTACTAAGGCTTTATAGAGTGGTATTAGTACCTCCCTTGATCTCGATTGTATCCCTCTGTTAATGCAATTTAGGATTGCGTTGGCTTTTGGGGCTGCTGCTGGCTCCTATTTAGCTGGTTGTCCACTAAGACTCCAAGATCCCTCTCACAGTTACTGATATTGAGCCTGGCCTTTGGAAAACCACCTTCCCCTACTGCTGATAACAAAAATACGCGTGCAGAGACACAGTGGCAGTAGAAGCTTAGCAGGCCTTCGTGTTGTCATGTATTATGGCCGGAGATCTTTATAAGTGCTGCTGAAGAAAACATTTTCTTTTTTTCTCCTCTCTGATCTTTCTCGACAGTTCCCAAGCCCAACCTGGATGCCTTCGTCTTCTTGAGAGTAAAGGAGAGACAAGAAAATATCATGGTGGAACCAGAATACGAAGACAGGTGTCAACACATAAAATATTTCTATGGGTTTTTTAGAGTTGCCAAGAGAAAGGGTTTTTCTGGCAGATCGATAGAGTTGAAGCCAACCTTACTTGGGGTAGGGAGATTACCTGCCAAAGGGCAGGTACTATGGCAGAGAAGGCTCACCTCCTGTTACAATAGTATTGGATTTAATTTCACCCGAAACCCATTCAAGCTAAATTTATAACCCCAAACTTTTCTTCCAGCTCTGACCTTAAAAAGACAGCCCTGCTATAGGGCTATTGCAGCAAGAATGGAAAGAAAGAATGCTCTGTATTTATAGATAGAAACTTGGACTCCTTCAAAAAGAAAAGCTGAGAATTAAGTCTTTAACGAATAAGTATGTATAAGAATTACAAGAATGGTCTATTTTTATTGTCCTTCTATTTCTTTCAGAGACTATGTGATTGACTTGGATGAAAACTCCCAACATTTAATCCGCTACAAGACAATTGCTCCCTTGGTGGCCTCTGGGGCAGTTCAGCTCATTTAGACCGGATGGATTTCTTTGCCGAGATGATAATCCTAAGACTGAGCTGCGTGCCGTGGGGAACCAATGTGTGATAATTAACCTTGGGAATTTAATTCAACGGGTTTGATTCCAGCATCGGATGCCCGAACTGGCTGTTGAAGCAAGGGTGTGCAATTCCATCCCTGAGAAATAGGGTCCTATACACATCAAAGAAGAGGAAGGTGTTGGCATTGGAGAAAAGATTTGGAAAGTGGAACGGTCCAGCTCAGCAACTTAAGGACATATCATTCATTACCTGTCCAGCAGGTGGCAGTAGGGCCAGGTTCAAGCAATGGAATTAAAATATGAATTTGTATAGCAAAGTGTGGGTAACTTTTTTTTAATCTAAGACAGAGGTCTCCTAACTTGGCAACTTTAAGACTTGTGGACTTCAACTCCCAGAATCCCTCTGGCTGAGGAATTCTGGGAGTTGGAGTCCACAAGTCTTAAAGTTGCCAAGTTTGGGGACCCCTGATCTAGGAGAATTTTTTTTTTCCCCAATCACCCAGAGCTTCAGGGCAGGGCAGGAAGGTGTTCTGACCCAAATCTTGTTCCAAGTAAACAAACACCAAAGAGAGATAAAAGCAAAACCTTTTAAGGCTTCTCTGCAAATCTTCCCAACCTCATAACCGCCTTTTCCCATAGAGCTGGGTTTTTACATTATAGATGAAAATAGGATAATTTGAGCTTGGTCGTTTTGTATCCCAAGAACTCTGGGTTGAATGAATGAAGGAGTATTTTATTGGCCAAGTGTGATTTGACACACAAGGAATTTGTCTTGGTGCATATGTTGCCAGTGTACATAAAAAAGATGTATCTGTCAAGAATCATCAGGTACAACGTAAGGTTGATCTATTTGTTTTATGTTCACCACCATACTTCCAAAATGTCTAGACACTTCCTATCCTGCTTTTCACTTCCATAGATTATTGGGACAGGGAGTAACAATGGCCTGCCGGATCTTGAACTTTTGCAGGTTTCCTGCTTTGATTTTTAGCCACAAACATTTCTTAAGACATGATCAGTTTTATTTTCAGATGTCGGACTTAGCACTATAAGCACGAAATGTCAGCGCCGTGGTTTGTCTCTGAAGTTTGTTTTCAAAGAGACTGCAGAAAAATCCAAAAGCCAAGCTTCAAGAGCCAGATCAAGATAGTCTGCCAGTCTTAAGGTTTAAGAGTAGAATTAGTCCTGCAAGAGCCAGACATTATTTCCAGCAAAGAAAACAGGTAAAGTGAGTCCTGTTTATAAGCTGCAGGTAGCCAGCTGTCACTAATCAGAATGTGTCCTCGGTTGCTTGTCAAACAAGCAATGTACTGCCCTAATATTCCATACTAAGCCAACAATTCCTCATTTGGCAGTCAAACTCATGGAGAATGAATGCTACATCTTATTCAGTGGTGGGATCAAAAAAATTTACTACTGGTTCTATGGGCGTAGCAAGGGAAGGATACTGCAAAATCCCCATTCCCTCCCCACTCCACTAACCTGCTTTCCAGCTCCATTCTCCTGTGCAGGGCAACCAAGGGAGACCCAGCCAATCAGCTGGGACTCAGGAGGTGGAGAATAGATGGGATTGGCAGGGCTAGTCAAGAGGTGGGATTTGCCAGTTCTCCGAACTACTCAAAATTTCCACAACCAGTTCTCCAGAATCGGTCAGAACCTGCTGAATACCACCTCTGATCTTATTGTATCTTTCCTATCACTTCCTTATTTTTTCCCCCTCTGAATCACAAATATCTCATCATGCCACCAACAGGGCACTATTTTGTGTAGATTCCATCAACTTGACCTAAAGTATAATGTAATGTAAAATAAATAGTGCCCCATGCGTCTCAATGAGGTATTGTAGACTTTTTAGCCAATATAATGAAATCTATAGGACAGAGGTCTCCAAACTTGGCAACTTTAAGACTTGTGGACTTCAATTCTGGGAGTTGAAGTCCACAAGTCTTAAAAGTTGCCAAGTTTGGGGACCCCTGCTATAAGACATCTTGCCCTTCTGTGGCTGAAATGGTATGTAGATTATGGGGGGAGGGGAATGCTGTTGAGTCATTGTTGACATGGATTTTGCTTCCTTCCAAGACTTCACAGTATCCTGGTTTCTAGCTTGATGCTTTAACCACTGCATTAAATCAGGCTTGTTTTTTAGGGAAATCAGGACCATGCATTCTTACCGATAGGTTATATATCTTCTGGCAGTGTATTTATACTGCTCATCAAAGTATCACATTCTGTTAAGAAAATAGTGCAAAACACTGAATATCTGGGAGCTATTGCCCCCTGATGGTTCCCACATGTATTGCAGCCTCATGGCAATATAAATATGAATAAAACAAAATACTGATAATTTCCGGCTGTGTAAATCTTACTTTTGGACAGATTGTCTTAGAAATAACGATTGGACCTGTCAGTTGCCTCTCTGTGCTTCCAGGCCTTTGAAATATCCGTCCTTGTGCCCTATAGTAGAGTCTAGTGCAGTGGTAGTCAACCTGGTCCCTAGCGCCCACTAGTGGGCATTCCAGCTTTCATGATGGGCGGTGGGGGTTTTGTCCCCTACTTTATAAATCACCATTACTGTGGAACCAATGGGCAGTTAGAGAAAATTTTACTACTATCAGAGATACAAAAGTGGGCGGTGGGTATAAAAAGGTTGACTACCCCCTGGTCTAGTGGAAACAGAAAACAATTTCTTGGAAACTGTTTAAGAGGGGTTTCGGTATAGCCCGCTTATATTTTCCCATCACTATCCAATGGTTATCCATTAAATAAATGGCTCCTTGAATCTGAATTAAATTGATTGAAATAGAATTGAATTAAATTGAATTAAATAGATTGAAAACAACAACTTGTAGACATGCTGTAAGTCGCCCAGAGTCACTTAAGTGAGATGGGCGGTGGAAGAAATTTAATGAAAAAATAAAAAGTGCAATTAGCCATGACATCTAGCCACCACTGCTGCCTTACACCCAAGCTGGCTGAATCGTGGTTAAACGTCTCCTGACCAGCATCTAATGGGGATGATCGCTTTTTTTGTTTTCATTCTAACACTTCTTAAATTCCACCTCCTCCTTCCCACCGTTTTCCAACTGCAGCCGGGATCGCAGCGCCTACCAAAAGGCTCCGTTCAAACCTCAAAACAGCCGGACCTTCCACGTCCGGCTGCCGGTCAAGCGGGGGCCGGAGGGAAGATCAGAACCTCCGGCCAACGGCCAACCCCGAGGGACGGCGAGGAATTGCGAAGCCCAATCAGCCGCCGTCTTCCCTCCGATTTCCCCGCCTCTCCTCCACACCTGCCACCTGTCCGTCAGGTGACTTTACAATTAAGGTGCCAGCCACGCAGCTGCGGGGCATTTCTTGGCTGGCTCGTGGCGGAAAACTTGTCCCCGAAAACTTTTGGATTTTGACCTTGACTCTTCGCACGTTTAGGTAACCGAGGCTCTTGAGAACCGGGACCTTTTCCCACGCTTGCGCTGCTTTTAATAAGTTTATCCTGAAGTTCGCTTGCCTTTGGTAGGTTGTAATGAACGTGCAGTTTTTTTTTTCCAAACCCATCAGGAAAAAGAAGGTATAAATCCCTGCAGCTGGGAGGTGGGGGTGGAGAACTTCTACCGATTTATGGAGCTTGTTTTGGCCTAAGGCGTTTTTTGCTGATTCTGTAACCAGCTTAGGGAGCTGGCTGTAAAAATACTGGGAAGCTGTATATAAGTCTAAGTGCTATTGCTATAATGGGGCCAGGTGGAAGAAGGCTCCAGGTGCATTCAAGTGAGTGGAAGATGAGGCAGGATCGTAATCTTATTTATTAAATGTATACTCTGCTCATATTTGCAAGAGGCTATTCTAATAATCCAGTCCAGTGTATGTTTATCCAGAAGTAGCACCCACTTCCTCTGCGCAGGATTCAAACTAGTGATAGAATTATCGACGAGCCAATTCATTTATTTGTACCCCATCTTTACAAATAATTCAAGATGGCGAACGTACCCAATACACCCTCCTTTTATTTTCCTCGTAACAACAACAACAACCTTTGTGAGGTGGGTTGGGCTGAAAGAGAGCGACTGGCACAAAGAATTAGAGTTAGGCATTGTTGCCCACATGTCAGTTAGTGGCAGTAAAAAGATAGAATATAGAATAATAGATTTGGAACTTGGAAGGGACCTTAAAGACTCTATAGTCCAGCCCCCTGCTCAAGCAAGGGACCGTATGCCATTTCAGTCTTTTCTTAAAAGCCTCCAGTGATGGGGTACCCACAATTTCTGAAGGCAAGGCATTCCACTGGTTAATTGTTCTCACCATTAAGAAATTTCTCCATAGTTTTAGGTTGCTTCTCTCCTTGCCTTTTGGTGTTTTGGAAAATAGTTTGACTCCCTCCCCTTCTCATCTTTGTAAAATAATATTGGAACAGTGCTATCATGTCACCCCTAGACCTTCTTTTCATTAGCTTTATTTTTATTTTATGATTTATTTTACATTTTTATTTTTACTTTATAAAATATTTTATTACCTTTATTCTTTTCACTAGCACTCAAAGAATCCCCTCGTTCAAATTCCCATGACTCATATACTTGGCTGAGATTTTTGAAACCTTTTGGTATCGCCAAAATTGACTTGCAGCGACATAGGGTGAAAACCAAATTTAATAAATAAATATCCTATGCTCCCTGAAACAAATATTTATTAAATTTGTTTGCTGCCGAGTTGGTCAAACAAAATCAATTTTTTTTTCCCATTTAGGAATAATCCCAGAAGGATATAGGAAGGATTTAACTTATCTAATAGTACGTGTGTTTACGGCGGCTAGAATAATATACGCACAATAACTGGAAGAAGGAAAGAATACCGCTGGAAACAGAGATAATAAGGAAAATTATGGCCTGTGCAGAATTGGACAGGTTAAAACTAGAATTAAAAAACAAGGGAGAATCTTGAGTCCTATGAAACATGGAATAAATTCTGTCAGTGGCTGCATAGAAGAAGGCAAGGGTGGAACATAAGTAGCGATGATTAGAATAATTAGTAAACAATGCATCAGACAAGAGGATTGTAAATGATGAAGTAAAATTTATATATGTATAACCATTGTAATGCCAGAATGGATGCCCGTGTTGTATTCTTATAATTTAAACAAACAAACAAACAAACAAACAAATAAATAGGGGGGAAAATCAAGATGGCAGCACATCAAGCCAGGTGGTACTTTTGATGGCTATCTTGGTGATGGTTTCTTTTTTCAGCCATACTTGTGGACGGTGCTGAGCTGAGCAGGCAAAAGGATGACCCTCCATGATGAGGCGAAGGAAGAAGCGGGGAGAATTCTGAGGGGGTGGAAAGGAGGGAAAAGAAGATTTGTTTGCCGCCATCTTGATGAGAGAAGCAGAATGGCTTCTCTTCAGGGCGGGTGGAAAACCATCCTCCTTTCTTTCAAGTTGAAGGGAAAATCTCCCAGAAAATTATTCTGAGTGAAATGTTTTCTCTCGTGAAGGGAGAACAAAATGTTTCAGCTTTTTTTGAAATGCCCCCATATTTAACCCTCCAAGGCACACCTTTGGCTTTTTAACCTTGGGTACATGAAGTGCCTGAGTGAGTTTTTAAAAGCTTTTTATGGTGGGTGTCGAATTGCAAACCGGCGTGGTTGTTACTGAACTCGAGAGAGAGAGAAGCAGTTAAGGTGAAACCAGGAGGCTGTGAGTTCTAGTCTTGCCCTAAACCGCCTGAGTGAGTTTGGGCCAGGCACTCTCTCCCAATTTGCCTCACATAATTGTTGCTGTGGGGAAATTAAGAGGAGTATTTGCCACTTTGAGATACTTATAAAATAATACAGGCAAGGTTTTTCTTTTTTTAAAAAAACCCTAACAAATAAATAATAAAATATATAGGAATGTTGGGCCTCTGAACTATTTATTCTCATTTGCCTACCTCACACCCAGTCCTGTGTTTAAAGGCAGTTAGTTATAGAGATATTTACAAGAAGGGAAGAAGTCAAAAAGTCAAGATGTTAGTCCCTTTTTAAATCTAGGCCTACACGGATAGCTCTTTGCTATCCCGAGAGCATTTTATGGAATTGTTCTATATTTACTGAATTAGAAAGAACAGTTCGAATTAATCTGTTTCGCCATTAGGCCAGCTGAGAATGCAAAACATAAAATATGCAACAGTACTAAGATCGTATGTTTAAAAAATAAAAGACAAACAAAAATGCAAATCATATTTCTGGGTCACCGCTACAGTGTACCTCAATCAGATACACAGAGGACGTTCTCAAACTGTATTTGCTCAAATAAAGGACCATATTAGATGTAATTTTTGCATTGTATCTAATGAACCTAATCCAAAATCATGTGGATTCTCACTGCACATGAAATGCGTTGTTTTAAAATAAGCATCCCAATAGGCCATTTGTCTCATATGCAGTCCAAGATAATGATCTTATTCTTTTTAAAATTGTTTTTTACTATACATTTTCATTTACTATACATCACGTTTCCATTTCTGCAATGCCTGTGTACTGTTGTATCAAATCTCATTTTAGTGTCAAATCTCATTTTATACACCGATTGTAACCATTTTTCTCATAATTATACAAAGTAATATCTTGAATATATATATATAATATATATAATTTCTTGAATATGTGTGTATATATATATATATATATATATATATATATATAT